TTGAGAAATTCTATAAAGTGTATCCCTATGAACCGTATAGTTTGGATTCATGCTATTTACACGATTTGCTAAAGTTGTGAATTTATTTCGCTGAAATATTGGCAAAAGCTGCCAATAATGGTCTGTCGCCAGATTAATTATATGTCGTTGAATAATCTGTAATCTATTGGCCTCACGGATCACGTTTCTTTTCAGTAATTTTTTACCCGTCATTCTTCGAGAAATTCTGCCGGGTAACACTCGAGAAATAAGACGCCGCACATAATTCATATCGGGGGCAATAATTCTATCATAATTTGCTTGCCTTAATAAAGAACTTAATTGGTAATTCATTTTAGAAAAGAAATGTGTTGTAGAAAAAAAGCTCAAGGATATCGTATCGTATTTATAAAGCTTCCTCTGTGCGACGTATGTACGGCTGAAATTATGTACGTTCACATAACAGTACTGATTGATCATATCAATTCATGTCATTTTCTAAATCTGTTCACATAACAGCACTGATCATATCAACTCATATCATTTTCTAAATCTGTTACATTACAAAGTACTTCTTATGATTTCATACCAAATTGCATGATTACTCATTAAAAAAGAGAATCCGAATAAACATGTGAATTCGCATTTATTAGCATTAAAAGAAAAATGTAACATGATAAGCCAAGCTTCTATAAGCCAAGCTTCTGCATTGATATGTAGCGCCCGGAAGTAGATAGATATCGCCAATGATTTAACTTAATTCTCTAAGTTTATAAGAAATCACCTTGAAAGATATCGTGTTGATGTTGTAGAAGGTCCTTATATGATTTTATACCAATATTAATAAGGAAATTGAAAAGTTAAATGTCAGTAAAAATGCTCGAGTCTATTTATATTACAAAACCAAATCGTCAATCTATTTTTAATTATTTTACACGTGTAATGATCGGGGTTTCCTTAAATGGTATAAAATCATTAATGTGATGTAACTAATATCTTAAGATTAACCATATTTCATTGTTTATTAAAAAGAGATGAGATTGTTTACAGGATGACTGACGTACGTGTGAAAAATGTTAACCTGACACTATATACGCCTAGTTATTTTTTTCTTTGTTTCTTATCTGTTAATATGCAGGGGAAACGTCTCAAAAGTCATTTCAGATAGATTATTTTAATCTAATGTATGTCTAATTGTTGAGGTAATAATCTTGTCTCTTTACGGCGCGGATCAACTTTTGTGATCGTCGCTTTTCAACTTTCTAAAAATGAAATTTACCGTTATCCATACCCGTGTCTGGCAAAGTTTTCGATCGGCATGGGTCGGGTTACTTCACTAATAAAAAATCAATAATTAATCGTCCTTTTATTTTCAAAAATTATAATTGATAGCTCACTCACGAAAAGTCGATGATATTATAAATGAAAGTTAATGAAGTTTATAATTAAATCTTTATTCAGGCCAAAAAAAAAAAATTGTTTGCGACAACCGTACTTCATTTATATCTTCGTTATACTTTTCTAACCAATCAAAAATTTATTTCCATTTACGAAAACAAAATTTTTGTAGGCGCAGCAGGTTTCCACATTTAAAAATATCGGTACTTGGCCTAATCTAATTTCACACAATATCTCGGAATATCTTTTCTTCGCAATTTGCTTTGAAATAGCAATTTATCCAAATGTTAGGTTTCAACAAAATTAATCAACATTCGCATTACTAAGGAAGAGTTTAAGATGCCTGGACATTTAAATGTATTAGTGCATAATTAAAATAACAACTGAAAATTAAATTAATGAAAGTATCTGCCAATCCGAAGAATGATTTCTTTTGAAAAACGTAAGTACGATAATTAAAGCGTCACCGAAGCAACTTGTTTAATTAGATAAATGTAAAAAGTACAATGAAAAATAACCGAGTATGAGATGTTTGATATTTGAATTGAATATTAATTAATTAATTAGATTATTTTTATAAAGTCATTGACACTTATTAAATTCTTCCATGATGTAATCCAATAAAAAACCGCTAATCATGTATTTATTTATGGCCAATCAATGTGAATGTAACGGTATTTAATCTTAATTTTATTAAAAATGAACTTTTTGTAAGAAAAACAAATATTTATATTCCATCGAATTGGGAAATTATTTTTTTGTTAAAAAAAATAGCAATAGATAATTCTTCGGAAAATTTGGAATGAATTAACAAGAATTCAGGGTTATTGGTAATTCAATAGGAAATTTCTTACAAGTAAACTTTGAACATGGCAAGGAGTTTTAAAGCTTTGAATTATTATTTTTGGTTTTTTTTTAATTTCAGGTTCAGGGCGTACTGATCAAACGATTTCTATTAGGATCTAGCATCATTTCTTTTTATGCTGTATCAACAAAAGTTTATTTCATTAATTTTGAGTTGTATGCATAGATAAGTTTTTTTTTTGATTTTATTTTTCACTAAATTATACGGTTGGATTGCTGCAGAACAGAAGCCTAAACTTGAAGCCCGACCCGGTTAGGACTTAATAATATGACGGTTAAATTTAATAATTCAATCATCTTATTTAATAACAAAATCATTAAATTTCGCTTGTTCTGCTTTATTTTCTTTGAATTTTAATTTATTCCTTTTTTTAAATTTAAAAAGACAACCTGGACTGTTAAAATTTAACATTTTATTGCCTTTTTTAAAAAAAGAAATAAAAAAAATATTTAATAATGTGTAATGCGACAAATTAAAATTAATTTCATAATAAAAGTAAAAAAGTATAACATTATTTAATACTTAGATCATATGATTTAATTTACTATGTTCGTAACTCAATTTTAATAGAAACGACCCATATCTGCGATTTTCCACATATAATGCATAATCTGCCACTTTTAATTCATATAGAAATTAAAAATTCGTTTTTTAATAGAATCAATACTGAAATGTTTTAGATTTTCCAGCTTCAATTATATATGCTAAGCCATTAACAAAGCCTCTATTGATAAAAATTGATTTCGTATAAAAACTAGTCAAAATGTATCCAAATTTATATACGTTTTTTATTCAATTCAAAAGTTATTAAAAAGCCTAAAAAATGAATTCATACATTATTAGCATTACTAAAAATGTTATTTACTTATTTAACCTTGATAAAAACTCAAGTAATTTCTGACCTGCTTAATAATTTCTCTTATCAGTATGTAATTCTTTATTTGTCACATTATTTGTTACTAGGATATAGAAGGTCTGTTAAAGTTCAGTTAAAGTTCTAAACCTGTAGGTCCTGTATGTGAACAGTAGAAAATTTTTGAAAATTTTTATAAAACTATAATTTTTTATTTTTTTTAAATGATATTTTTTTTTTTAAAATTCTGATCTGTATTTAAAAAGATTTGTTAGAAATAAAACCTTCTTGAATTTCATGTATTTCATGTTGATACCATGTGAAGTCAATTTTACTGCGTCACAAAGATTGATGAATGATTAACGTTATTAACTCCTTTAGCATTTTTAACTTAGTCAACGTTTTTATTTAATTTATTTTATTCTTATATTTTATTATTATTATTTATTAAATTATTATCATCGTTAAATTATAATTTATCTTTTATATTTATTTTATCATTATAAAATATTTTAGTGATAGTTAGCAATTTCTTATAATTGTATTTTTGTATAAATAGGATAGAAATTTGTCCTTGTAAAAGGGCAGATATAAAAGTGTAAACTCAATAGTTCTAGTTCAAGACTTAGAATCCAAGGATAAGGATTGCTAAGAATACAAATCTCTATAATAAAGGAATCTCTTTCTAAACTACACATATTAAAAATCCTTCAAACATGTTAATTGTGTTTATCGTGTTTACAAGTTGTTAAAGTTATTTTACTTGTCTAAAGTATAAACCTAAGGTTGATTGTGATAGGACTTATTCCACAGTAACTTAGTAGTTTCTCGCACGTTACTCCCTGTTATTAAGTCATAGTTGCCCTAAGTTCGACGGTTAAGCGTAGGGTTAACAATGTATCATGTCTAAAGATCAATAATCCTGAAATAATATAATTATCAACAAAATTGTTGATAATCATAACATCCTCCAAATAGAGGCCAAATCAAATTTGAAGATTACAAAAGATTTACTAATGAAATTCTAATTGATATAAAGTTCATAACAGAAAACTGTAAGTTCAGAGCTACAGCACAAAGAAAATTCTTAGAAAGTAAATACCCAATATAGACAATTTATTCAAAAGATCTATACATAATAATATAAAACTTCTATTTTCTAACAAATCCTTATACAATAACACTGCACAGGTATGTTTGTATTTATTATAATTTATTATAGATATATACATCTAGAGTATATAATAAGATTTAATGTTTGGATTTATAGGTTTCCAATTGGCTTGATCAGCTGAAAAATAATAATACACGTTGGGTTATTGTACATGAATGAGATAGTGATAATATTTTAACTTACCTACTTTAAATAACGCTGAACCAGGTTGAACATTGGATATAATACTCTGATTGCATTTTAAATAATATCACTCATAAAACAAATTATTATAGAATGGCATTATCATTATTCGTTTGATTTGATAATGATCAGCGAATATATTATTAGCACAGGTACTTTTACCTGATAAAAGTATTAATTCATATATTTGGATGTTTCGAGAAATCGTCAAAGCAACTAATATTTATCTAGCTGTTATTCTTACTGATGTAAATCTAACAGTTGATGCTGCAATTCATCAAGTATTTACCACAACTTATCCAATTTACTGTACCTATCATATTACTCAGAATTTACATAAGAATCTTAGAAAGATATTAGGGGAAATATATAAAAAGTTTCTTGAGAACTTTTATCAATATCATAATAGTTTAGAAAAAGTTATTTTTCAGCAATCATTTGATAAGCTGATTTAAGATTATTCTAATGCATGAACTTATTTAGAATTTCTTTATAAATTGAAGATATATTAGACATATTATTTTACATTTTTTAACTTTTCAGGAGGCATGATTGCTACATTACGTGTAGAAACTGTAAATGCAAGCTTAAAACATTTATTATATTATTCAAATGTTTCACTATATAAATTTATAACTGAAATTAACAGACTGCTAGATATTCAAGATAAGGAGAATGAGTATAGATTTTAGCAGCTCATGATTCCAGCTATTAAAAATTAAAACAAAGGAAATTTCCTATTTAATAATATAAATAATTGTATCAAAAGATTTCTTGTACTGACAATTTTACAAATGCAGTGAAACTAGATCAATCAATCAGTTTATTATACTGCAAATGTTATTACAAGAGACATTCCAGTAACTTCTGATCAAAACATCGAATTAAATGATAATCAGGAAGAATTCAATGTTGATAATACATAAATTATCTTTAACTAGCTAATCGATTTTGTAGAATCAGAAAATATACAAGAGATATAGGCAATTAAAGTTGGCAATACATTGAAGGTCAAACATCATATTATATTGTTAAAAAATTGATCTCACATATGTTCTTGCCTTTCTATTATATGATGTGATATAGTATGCAGACATTATTTTCAATTAATGCTAAATATAAGCTTAGAAATATTTTATATTAGAATGTTATCTTTACGGTAGTATTGTAATAAGGAAAATAGAGTAAAAGAACCTTTTATAGTTGCGAACAAATACTCTCAAAACTAATCTATTGAAATTACTACTAATTGTATAGTTCCATATTTATATCTTTTTAAACAAGAAGCAGATTTTAAATAAAAAAATTTAACTATTCTTAAACAAAAGATAACATATGAAAATATTAGTAGAATATACAAGAAAGCATTTAATAAAGCATTGCAAAATAAGGAAAAATCTCAAGAATTAATGGAAATGCTTCAAGATTTTATGGAAAATAATATTGATGATTAGTTAGATTTAGAAGATATGTAGCAGAATGATCACTTAAATAAAGAGAATATTGATTCATTCATTTGCCAATTACAAAATCTAAAAGTTCATCATGATAAAAGCCATCCAGTTTATACTAAAAGGTATAAATTAGAACATAAAGTGTCAAAAATCAAGGCAAATAAATGACAATGTAAAAAATGTAAAAGTATTGGACATTATCAAAAGAACTACAAGGAGGATTAGAAGGATTAATTTCAATTCATCTTATATAAATTGCATTTATTATAATCAAATAATAAAGTCAAAGTCACATGACTATTAATTACGTAATATTATAATTAATAAATCTAAGTTATATAATCTACTATCACGTGATATTTAGGGTCTAGCATTATATCGCCATGGCGATATTTATATAACCCATATTAAAAATACAATTTTTTAATTTTAAAATTTATTTTGATTTTACAAGTTGGGTTTAATTAATAATGTATTCAATAATACTTCTATCAGTATTATGGATCATCCTGTCAGGAGTGATCAATTTACTAAAAGGAGTTTTAGTAATTTCTTCTCTTCATCATGTATAATATTTGTCAAATTATTCATCAAATTTTTTGATGGAATCTACCAATAGGAAAATGAAAAATCAATTTTGGTATTACCATGAAATATTTAACAAAATTTTCAACTCTGAATGAATTCTTCAAATTATCTCAATATTATCAATATAAAGTTTTTAAACTATATCAAAATTTGTTTAACAAATAACAGAATCATAACTATACCTACGAGTATAATTTTTATTAAATGATATTCCTCTTGATTAATAACTATATTCATTTAATCTATTATTCATGAACAAATAGTTAATAAAATTACTCATTTTCTCATTTGTAAAATAAATCTTTTTTACAATATCCATTCTACCTATTCAAACTTCTCTTATCTTATCACTTGATGTCTAACAAAAATTTTCAAATATCACATATTTCTTTAACATTCTCTACAAAATAATGATATATCTTTACTAAGTTGATATTGATTCCTAATAAATGAACTGAAAATCAGATAAATACTTAAAAGAATAATATGTTACATATATGAGAATTTTTATCTTTAAGAAATATTTTGTATTAGAAATATTATTTATAAGAAATATTTTTAATTTTATTTTCAGAGCAATTATTTAATATAATGATCTATGCATTATACTATATGAGATAGTATATATTTATATCTATTTTAAGAATTCACAAAGTTGTTATAAAACTATCAAAATTGTCGAAACTTTTAAAGCTTATCAAAATCTATCAAAACTTTGCAGATAATGCTAATAGAAGTAATCATTATTCTATAAGTGATATATTAAATAAGCTGAATAATATAGAAAATAAAAGCAATTTGAAGTTTGAAATAATACTAAGACTTGAAATTATCTAAAATTAGATTACCAGATATTCTGTAGCATGCAAATATGAAATAGCTAATATTATTTTACAGCATAAAGAGCAAATCTATTATAGTAATTCTAGCTTATAAGACTAATATTATAAGGCAATTTGTAAATAAATTTGTAAATAAAGTTTGTAAAAAAAAGTATTAGGTAAATAAAATTGAATAATAATAATATATAAATCAGTTTATAGTAGCATATAACTTACTTGTAAAATCAAAATTACTAGTAATCAAATATAATAACTTGTTAGAATCTGGCTATCCTCTAAGGTAAACTATCAAATAAAATAATTTAAAGTGCGACTTTTTTTATTATTTATAAAACACTTATATTGTTTATCTATATTTATAATTTTTTAGCCAGTTTTATTATTTTGTAAAAGATTTTTATAGTCACTTATTTTTGCTAACTAATAATAACTTGCATATTTGATAATAAAATTTACCCAGAAATTGAGTAATAAAATTCTACACATGATCAGTGAATTGTAAATTAAATACTTTTTTTTGATACTTTTTTTTATTAAGTGTGATAATTTTGTGATATACATTTATATTGATATAGTCTTTAATAAATTACACAAATAAATATTTAAAAAAATAAAAAAATTTGATATGTATAAAAATTTTTACTTAATATGCAGTAAGCAGTTTACTTTAATTAAAGTGATCAAATTAATTTATAAATTTAGAAAGTGTAATTCATTTAGTAAAGTTACAAAAAATTATTTTTATATGAATATTAATTCAATCAATATAAATAATTAGATATAAATATATTGAACCTGCTGAACAACTTTTACTTAAAGATGAAAGGTGATTGACTTTAATTAAAGTGCTCAAATTTTCTTATGAAGTCAAAAAAGTATAACTTATTTAGTAAAGTTACAAAAAATTTATCTTTACACGAATATTAATCCAATAAATATAAAATATTAAATGTAAATAGTATCGAACCTGCTGAACAACTTTACTTAGAGATGAAAGGTGATTGACTTTGACTAAAGTACTCAAATTTTATCATAAAATTTCTGTATTAATATTTATAAAAAAGATATTAAATAAATATAAAAATTAGAATTTACAAATAAAAAAAATATATTTAATAAATTTTTACAAGTTCAAGTATTTAAGTTTAAAAAAATAAGATTTTTTTTTAAAGATTATATTAAAATAAATGATTTTTGTTAAAAAAAAAAAAAAAAAAAGATAATAATTCAAAAAGGAAAATTGATACTAAAAAAAAGATTAGAAAATTGATATTAATTATATAACTGTAATTGATTATCAAATTAAATAAATTAAATAATTAATAATTTTGTATAATTTCTATATACTTTAATTTTAAAAAATATGCAAAAATCAATTCAGTATTAAATATATAGAAGTGTAATACAGAATTACTAAAAACATATTAATAATGTATCATTTTTATATCATTTTTATATATAATTTTTTCATAGAACAATTCTTCTTTTATAATATTTTCAAATTTAAATTTCTTATTTATAATTTTAAAATAAATTCTTTTATAACTATAATTTTATAGTATAATACTTCTAATACATATAATGAATAAAATCAAAAACATAAATTTTTCAAATTTTTTTAATAAACTATACTCTAATTTTTTAATAAAAATATCACTATCTCGTATATTTCTATTAGCCTTAAGTATATCTTTAACTTGTTGTAGCATAGTATCAATTAGCTTTAAACAAAAATTAATATCAATTTTATTTTATACTAATTGTATCTTATTCTACAAATCTTCTGTATTAGTAATATTATCAGGAAGCTGTCACAAATAATGATCAATTTGTTTTACAAATGTTCAATGAGATTTAAGTTCAGCAATTATGCTGGCCAATCTAAAATTTCAATATTATTACCATCAAACCACTTGTATGTTTTTTGTTGTATGGTTTGGATCATTATCCTATTAGAAAATAACTTTATTTACATTCTAATTATACACATTAAAGATCACCACTCTTTCCAATCTGAGCTAAAAATTAAGAATTTACTCTCATCTGATCACATTACTTTTTATCAATTCAATTCTTATATTTTGAGCAAATTTTTTTCGTGCTTTTCTATATCTATTTAGAAGCATTAGTTTTTTTTTAACTCTAGCTATAAGACCTTGCCTTTTCAATAAGCGTTGAATAGTATTTGATAAAATAACAATATTTTCATTGAAAATTAAAGATTTTTGAATTTGAATAGCATTTGTACATTAATCTGACTTAATAAACCTAGTAATATTCCAATTATGATGTTTGTAAGTATTCTTAGGTGACCTAATTTTGGAATAACATCAAAGCAGCCTATTTTTTAGTTTCTTCATTTAATTCTTATTACAGAAACATGACTTATATTTTCATAAGAAGCAATTGTATAATACGTTCCTTTTGGTAAAGTGGAATCACCTTTATAATATATTTAAAAAAACAAATAAAGGCATACACATTGATCTACTGATTTAAATTTACCTATAGTATAAGATGTGTCACACGTAGAGGTTGTGTAATTCGATTTAAATTCAGTTTAAACCAGATGCAATACAAACCGGATCTGGTTACAATATAAACAAAGACTGAAATATCACGTGAAATTAAAATCATAATTGACATTTGTAATAGATAGCTCACTTTCATAAATTGCATTATATCTTAGACTGGAGTAAACTTTGTTTCAAATCTTCGAGACTGAAGCGCCTCTTTGGTAATTCTGGTAGTGCTTACCTTTAAACTATAATAAGTAGTACTAGACTTCTGTTCAATAACGATCAGATACGCATACCATCATTAAGCTGTTTCACATAGATACATTATTAAACGCAATACATTTTTCACTTTTGCCTCCACATTTATTTTCTTGAAAATCAAATGAGATTATTTCATCCTCATAACATAGATGAGATTCAATTATAAATTAGCTGTAACATTATTCACCAATCCAAAATACAAACTAGTTAATAATATAAAATACTTACGATTGTTAAAAATAATCAGTAAAATAAATAACAACATAGTAGATTTTAAAACCATTCACCGTACAATAATAATTCAATATAGAAATCTGTCACTTTTGCTTTTCTTGCTTCGTTAATAAAAACGTAAATAAGTAAAAAGTTGTTAAATAATATACAAAGAACGGCCACAATGCAAATCTTCAAAATTTTTATTTGATTTATTTTTATTATTTTAAGATCACGAATTATCTATTTCACTTTCCTTAATTAATAAATTGTCTAATTTTTTTTTAGATTTTCCAATCATTAAAATGAAAATGCAACAGGTTTTTCTGCCTTGCGAAAAAAAATTTAACTACAAACAGCAATTTAAAATTCTCGTTAGATTCTTATCAAGAAAAAATGAAATAAAATTGTGTAGTATATGATTTGTTACTGTCAAATTCTACTTTCGCATTGATGAACACGAACGATTATCAAGAAAAAAGGTCGATTCAGCCAGTCGTTAGACCCATCTAGGCATTGGACTCGAGTCAAAAAAAATTAACTCGAGTCAAGTAGAGTCAAGAATTTTTTTTTGACTCGAAGTGTACCCGAGTCAGAATTCGAGTCAGAACTCGAGTATATGATTCGAGCAACTGACTCGAGTAGCTTATTTTTGTAAATGCAATATGAAATTTGACGAGTTCATACTAGCATTTATTTATTAACATAAAAAAAAAATTATTATTTTTTAAATTAATCTATTTTCTAAACTCCAAAGATTTGAGTTATTGCGCCCGCTCAATTAATGTAAATATAAATACTTTGAGATACTCTGCGCAATCAAAATTTTTGAGATGTTAACCCTTAAGAAATAAGTTGCAGTATATGGTACCTTAATAAAGTGTAGAATGCTCGAGGTTCATTCAAATAGTAACTCAAGTAAGCATTGAGCCTAGATTCGAAATTAATTTAATTCGAGTCTACTCGAATTCTTACTAAAAATTAAGATTCGAGTCGAATTGACTCGAGTTACACGAATACGAGTCCAGACTCTAGACCCATCTCCGTGACTCTCATGAAAATTAGCAAACTTATTTTTGAAAAAAAATTTTAAAGATCATATTACTGTATTACGTTTTAAAGAATTGTAATTTGTTAAATAAGTCCAATTTCAATGGGTTTAACTTATCCTATAAAAGCTAAGGTTACGTAGTGAGGATCACAAAAGTTATATTAATTTTTATAAATATAGACTGAAGAAATATTTTCATTAGGATAAGCAAAAAGTAAATTTTCATTACAAGTCATAATTAGTAAGAATGGGAGATGACGAAGAAATAATAAAGGTACCCTTCGATAGAAAATTGTTACTTGACAAGGAGAAGTGGGAATTATTTATATTAACAATTGAAGCCATAAACGAAAATTTAAGATATGGAAAGTGGACTCTCGAGAAACAATATAACTTGACTTATTACGACACGGACTTAACTCCTGCTTCGATCATATCGGAAGGATATGTGATTTCTATTTCTACAATTACTGTTATTAATCAATACTCTGGAAAACCGAGTTGAAATTAAATATGCACAGATTGATTGTAATGGTCATAATGAAGGATTGGAATTTATCGAATCAGTTCGTGATGATATACAAGCACTCCAGCTTGAAGATGCACTTTTATTCAAATTCTACACTATGGTGATATTCCCTCTTATTTTTCCCATGGCCATTGACCTAGGCGAAGACTATCTTGTCGAGGTTATCATCGACAAATGTGTAACCTATTACAATGATAATTATACGCCCGAGGTTCTAAGCATCATCACGACCTCATTCACGAAATTTCATTATGCCTATCCCCATTATGCCAAAAAATTTGTTTCAACATTAACCATATTTCCCAACAAGAGTCATGAGTTAAAGATAAGGAATTCATGTAAGGATCATCTTGAAAGTTATACCGACGATACAAAAAATTTAAAAATTTACCAAATCACGAATTATAAATTCGAAATCAACGAATTTCAATATTATCCCTTCGAATTATCATGTACTTGTTATTATTTTATAAGTACAACGACAAGGAAGTCATGTTATCATTGATTTTAATAGGGTTTATATTTTGGTTCATGATAATTTTTACGGGTCCTGTAATGACACCTCCTAAAATTATAAGGTCATCGGTGGAATTGTACATTCCTTTTCCAAAATTGACATCTTATCCTGAATCCATTGAATTCCCCGATTTCACTGGATCAAATTTCTTAAAAAAATTATGGATCTTTATTACTAAAAGAATACTATTGATCCTAACTCAAATGCGTTTATAAAGAATCACTTTCCCGATCTATATTCGAAGGTTATGGAAAAAATCTCTCGTGATCCATATTCTGATTGGAATGGTGAAGCTCTGGTTAACTTTAAATGGGCGCATTTCGGAAAATTTTATCATTATTGCCATTGGCTTATATTCAATGTCTTTTTATTTGTTTTCGCCGTTTTTAAATCTTACCCTTCGATAATTACCATCATTCTGGGATTGTTTCTACTTTCATTTGAGCTTCGAAAACTTATTTATAATCCTAGAAAATACCTATGGAATGAATTCAATTATCTTAGTAAGTCATAATTGTAAATTTAAACGTGTGGTAAATTATTTACAAATTTTTTTTATTTATTTTTTCTTAGATTTAGATGCTTATATTAATCCAATTATAATTTCTGTTTACTCATTAATTAACATATCACAACCAACGTGGATAATGCCAATCTCATTTTTACTATTGGACGCAAGGATGATATTTTTTTTGAGACCGCTTGAATTGTTTGGAAATTATATTGCGATGATTCTTAACGTCGCCAAGCGAATCTTTTCATTTTTATTGATTGTAGCTTTCATAATCTTAGCATATGCGCATGCATTTTACATACTATTACGACCAAATAGCGAATTTGATCCCTCTCAACATTCTTTTGATGATGATCCAAATAATCCTTGGAATTTGGCCTCCACATTTAGTAACGTTACTTCCGATAAAGGTGAGGTGTTTCCGAGGTACCCTCAATGATTGAATGACCCAATATGAATATCAATTTATACGCACGTTATAACACTTCAGCTTTGGCTGTGTACCAATTGATGACTGGTAGGAGGTTTCTTGGTTTAAAAAGTATTCATCGCAAGATGTGAACTTAATATTCTACAAAAAATTTTTGCGATATCTAGGTGACACCAAATCTATAGAATCGTGGGAATTAAATCAAAACCCAACGCTTGTTATGTTATGGATCTCATTTTCTTTACTTATTGTCGTATTTCTATTAAATTTATTCATTGGATTATTGAGTGAAGCTATGCAAGAATATTGTAATAAAGAATTTTTGTTTCAAAAGCCCGATGTATATGATCATTTTTATTTTTGTTACGTTTGATTATTTACTTGGAATTAAACGTTTTTTCTCTTTTATTTGATTTTTAAATAATAGCCGAAATTGAATTATTTTGGTTACTTCCATGTCAAAGAAATTGGAAGGAATGGTTTCCTGAAAACATGTATGTTTAATAATATGGACAGCTAAATGCAAAAGTGTTACCTTTTTCTGCCCCATGACTTTTTAAATTGTACTTAATTTAATGATTTCTACTAACAAGTCGACTAGCCCATATGCTTTAAAAATCTTACCACATTTTAAACCTACTAACATCATTATCGTTCATTTTCTTAGATGGTATAATGTTTATGTGGATGAACTTCGAAACAAAATACTTGAGATTCGTAGTCGTGACTTATTCATCCAAAACTTTTAGAACTTACCAGAATGAAAGAGGAATGACAGCCAAATTAAAGTTGAAAAGTTAATAACATTGAGAGTATATAAATACCTTAGTGAAAGTGTATGTATTAGGAAAAAAAGTGTCATGTATGGTTTTATGCACTTTTTACCCTATAAATAAAAATAATGTATTGTATATTCTAATAATGAAAATGTGAGGAGATATAAATAAATTCCAGAGAATGACCATTGGAAAAAAGCATTAATTAATTTTTATTAAAAAGTATGCGACCAGTCTAAAATCTTTGTATATCTGAAGAAAATTAATGCCATTCTATTCTGAGACTCTTTCCTAATCGTATTAAGACAATTCAAACCATGTGGCTTGTGAAAAGTTAGGCTATAAATGCGTCCTTTTAAAGAAGAGTTAGCAAATTATTAAATCAAAAAATTTTCTTTTTAAAAAAAAAAAGATAATTAATTATGGCTGATTTCTTCATGTGTCACTTTCTAAATGATTGGTTTATATGAAATATAAAATATTACCTAAGTAGCACCAATATCTAAAATAGGAATTTGTTTTTTAAAGATACCATAGTACAAACTAGCCTTCAAATAAACCTGTTGGCAATTGAACTAATAAAACTGCGCCATATATGTTCAAACTATTGGAATGATGTTGTTGTTCAACACACCGCTTCTTAATTATTATGAATTCCGCCTTAAACAAATTAAATAGAGCCTACCGGCCTGGATTCTCTGGTGACGAGTGAATCAATATATGCTGAACGGATAAGCCAATGCTTTGAGGCGGAAGGTTTCCTTTTTTGAATGGATGGTATATTATGCAATATGAGAATTCCCGGGAAGGGAAAAAACTCACCATTTTCTATGAAAAAAAAATACGAACATATTTGGAAATCTGCATGTCTGTAAATTTTAAAATGTATCATTTTTTGAGGCTTTGACCGTTTTCGTTCGATTTCAATAAATACCAATATTATTAATCCGGTGTTGACCTAGAATGAACCGAAACTAAGCTAACAAACCAAACCCAAATCTTTCTCAGGCTCGTCCAAAGGTAAAGATTTAATACGATTAATTTCTGATATTTCTGATATGAAGACACGAAAAAAGGTTGAAAGTGTTGAATAGAACTTTTTGTCTTATATGTGATAACGCAGTTATTTCTGCGGCTAATAACGTCCTATCTAATTGAATGTTTTTATGTCAATAAAATAAACAATGTAAATAAAAAGGTGATGATCAAATCAAATAACTTAAATTATCTCGAATGGCTCTTACTTGTGTAGTTAGTTATCACTATTAAATCCTTATATGAAAGGTTGAACGTGTAAATAGTATTTGTAGAGTGACACAGACTTGTCTCAATCTCCGAGTAAAACTCTGTCGACTCAAAGTCAACTTACAGGTCTATTTATATAATGATACATGTAATGAAAACTATATAATATAATGTAAGTAATGAAAAGTAGACTAAATAATACATGTAAAAGAAAGTAAATTGTTCGATACATGTTATATAAGTGACCCAGGTGTCACATGTGTCATATGTTTTACATTTTTAACATGCTATACTTTCATGATTTTCGCCGCAGTGTGTGCGACTAACAACATGATCACCATGAAAGTTATTGTTTCCAAATTAAATAACCTTGTCAAACATTCTATCATATATAAAGTGACCAAGCCCAACTCCCCTAAAATAAAACTTTTATTTTTGCTGTTTCAATCATTACATTATTCATTTATTAAAATTTCTTTATTATATAAATTTCTCATTATTTCTTTTAACTAATTTCAAATAGCCAACATTTTATCTATACCTCTCAACTAGTAAATTTATCATTTTAAATTAACGACAAAATAACGAAATATGGACACTGAACTTGACATGGGCAAATACGCCGCAAAAAAGTCTAAGAAACCTCGTGCCGCAGGCTCTCAAACTTCGGGCTGGACATCCACAGCAGGGACCAGCAATATCCCAGCATCACTAATATCTGACATGAACAATCTGAATATCGCCAGAGGACGTCTAGAGCGCTACGCTGCGGAGGCAGGTGACGAACGTTATCAGAGCGTAAGTTCCGGCGACAGATTAGAGACTAATACAAAACACTTACGGGAAAAGGCTATAACCGCAGCGCTCGAAAACATTAAACGTTCGATGAAGGTAGATCTTTGCTTCGTTTTGGACTGCACTGGCTCTATGTCAAGTCACATTGCCGCTGCAAAGGATTGTATAGTACAGGTAGTAGACTACATGGAACGTACGAACCCTAGCATTAAAATTTGGGTTGGTTTCTGCGGCTACCGCGACCACTGCGACGGCGTTAAACGTCTGCAGACCTTTAATTTCACTGATTCATACGAGACATTCAGAAGTTACGTTAGGAATGTACGAGCCACGGGTGGTGGTGATTCACCGGAAGACGTCCTAGGTGGACTTAACGCTGCCATAAAAAAAATGAACTGGAGCCATACCACTCGCGTCATTCTCCACGTCGGTGATGCCCCACCGCATGGTCATCGTTTCACTGATGAACTTGATGATTATCCGAAAGGCGATCCATATGGTCTAACTGCAGAAAGTGTTCTTGGAGAGATGAAATCATCGAATATATTATACTTTTTCGGAAAGATCACACAATGTACCAATAAGATGCTCCGCATATTCCGCGAAATAATTGGCGAGTTTCCAGTGTTTGATCTTGAGGATGTGGGAGGAAATCCGACTGCATTAATTGCAAAATTTTTCCAGGCTACTTGCTCGGCCATCTCGTCTTCTGTTTCATTAACCAGTACGTTGGGAAACAATATATATGAACTACGGCGAAAGGATTATGTTATCAACCCGATCGAACCTATTTGGCACAATATCAGACAGCAGGCTGGTACGGTTGCATGGTATAAAGTCCCCAAAACTCTGGCTAACATCAAGAACAAGGGATACTTCAATCAATTGAATACTGTTACTCAACAAATCTCCTTCAAGATCGCCCCACAGCCATTCTCCGTCGGTACCGAAAGATACGCATATTTTGGTCTTGACATCAAGGGTGTACCAGCTGAAAGGATAGTTATAAAAGAATACATTGACACTGGTAAAAAAGCAAACTCGATTGAAAGGTACCTCGAGGCGGTAGAAGTCTCGAACATAGCGCATTTCCTTTCCATAAAATTCAATTTAGCCGCCACGCGGGCCGGTATTCACAAGAAGGTTAAATTTCTCCACGTAAAGTTTCTGCGTATTACAAACGGGACTCGGTATTACAATGTAGAACCGAAAATAAACAATACGGAATTTAAGCGGTTCAACGCGAACAGTGGCGTAATTACTGAATTCCATTCCACCCTTGAAGCGTTTGCCCATTTCACGTATGATTTCACCGGTGGATATTTATTGGTATGTGATCTACAAGGAGCGGAATTCTCCGATCATTTTTTATTAACGGATCCAGCGATACATTGTACCGATTCCTTAAGGTTCGGAAGGACAAATCTTGGGAAGAGGGGAATCGAGAAATGTTTCTTGAATAATCATACGTGTGGTAGTGTTTGTAATAAGTTAGGATTGAAATCACCTTAATTTTATTGATACTACTTAAATGCCTTTTTTTTTAAACCCTTTATAATTTTATTTTATTAAATTTATTTGATATATAACTATTATCAATCATTCTATATGGAGGAATTAATTAACTTTATCAAAAAAATACTTGTTAAAAAAAAATCTTTTATTAATAAATTTTGAATTTAAGCTGAATTTATTCAAGTATAAAACTTCAACGCCAAGTATTAGATTTCCTTTTGAGATAGATCTTCATAAAATACCATTCTTTTCCTTCAATATTTGAGATATGAGCATACTGCCTCGAAGCGTTGTGGTCGTTGCCTAACATAAAACTCGAATCCAGGGCGTTTTTAGGAAATGACTCGGCTTGTTATTTGTTACGTAATTATAGATTTCAAATGTATTTTAGGTTCGAATAACTTTATGTGATTAATTTATCGATTCTACGCATGTCTCATTATATTTCAAGGCTGCTGACCGCGAATTTCAAATCAAACACAGTACAGGGCAATACGCTTACGTCACCCAGATATACAAAGGTACATGTTTTGAAATGCACGTGAACGTAATTCTGTTTACACGCTGTCCGGGTTCGTCAAAATTGCGCGGATTAAAACGGCGCAGTATGCCTCTCTTGAAGCATAGTTTCTGTGGGATATAATCTGATTGTCTTAGCGAAATATTTTCTAAGATAAAGGCGTGGGAATAATGGAAAGTATTCCCTCCAGAAGAAATTTATTTCTGAACCTGTATAGGATTCGGGAATTTCGGCGCAATAAACCCGTGCAGTCAGCATCGATCAAGAAAATTTATTATTTATTCGATGCATTAATTGTTATGTATACGGAGTACAGATACAAAAAACTTCATAATGACTATGGCTAAGAGGTTGTGACAGCCTCATATGACATGAGGCGCAATAGACATTTTTACGAGCTGAAAACATAATAAATTCATCCTGAGTAATGTTGTGGCTGTGAAAGATTGCTCTATCTTATCGATCCCAATTTCACTAAGCAGCCATAAATAGATTTTATATAATAATAAAGTAATAATCACGATCTTTTGGCAAAAAAAATATACAGTATATATATAAAATATATCGCATCAACTTTAATAACTCTACTCTTACATGCAAAATATTATCTTAATTGACTATATGTTTTGGACAATATAAAGCAATGGACAATAGAAAATGGCCTTAAACTCCGTCTATATAAAATTATCATAATTATTTTTAAACGCGTAAAAATAAAAGAAAGAAATAACGGATATCGATATAATTTTTTTCGAATTGCAAGAAATGATACTTATTTAGAAAGGCATTTGCCTTGACATTAATTTGGGAGCGCATCTGTAAATAAACCAATGATGATATAAATAACATTTTAAAAGTACAATTGTTCATAAGTCATAGTTGTATATATAATCATTTG